AAAAATTATCATTATTGATTTCGAAACAAAACGAGAGTTACCGTTAGCGAGCTGGCGAAATGTGTTTGAAAATATTTTGCTTTGATTATGTCTCGAGAATTCTCGTCAGAACACGTTCACGAGTTCGATAACAACGCTTACGCTCAAAGCTTTAAATGGATAGGATTCACCTGCAAAAGGATCATCGTCTGTCTCTTTTTCCTTCCGTGCGAGCATCTCACACGACAATTCTTCCTATAACATCAGCGATGGAACATCTGAAGTGAGTGTATCATTCAGTACTTCTACGTCTTACACTTGAAGGTTCTTGCCGAGATGGAAACAATGGGTTGCCTTCTCTTTTCGCCCTTAATGAGACATAAAGGGCTAGATTTTAGAACCTGGTTGTTGGTTTTTGTGGTCGTGTACGCGGAAAAGATTTTGGAAATTCCGTATGGTGCGAAATCATCTACAACTACGATCTTGCGTTCACATTTGGATTCAGGTTGAGCAATCATTGTGATTTAGAGTGCAATCTCTTGCCATCACATTCTTCACTGTGAACCGACTCAGATAGTGGACGATGGAGGAAGTCGAACGCTGTACCGGCACCACTGCTATGCGCTTTAGTAATGTTCTTGTCTACAGTAGCGGACGTATACGGTATACGCTTAAGCAGCGCATCATGTCAAAGTGAAAGTGCTTATTCTATTACCAATTAAGGAAAAAAATCTGGGGAACAAGTGGCGGGAGATCACATAGTCTACCGGATCGATGGGCCACACACACAGGCCAGCAATGTGGTCATTCACAAATCTGCGCTTGGGAGGTGCACTTGTCATATTTCACTTTTACCTTATTCAGTGCTGAACTACTTTTATCATGACGTTCTTTGACCTTCGAGTCAAACGCTCTTAGATTCTTCGAGTCCTGTCCAGGAACGCACATCTAATTATAGTGGTTAACCAAAGTAACATGATCCGACTTACTCTACTTACTCTTCTTGTAAGTCTCGCTGTGGTCAATCCTCAAAGCGATGATGGTTCTGACTCTTGCCAAGGAAGGGATCCTGGCTTATATGCTCAGGCATGTTACTTATAAGATTTCAGGGATGGCTTTAGTAATTTTTGCGTGTTTATGTGTATTGGCTTTTTTATGAATAAGTTCTAGGGCTGTTCCTCTCGTGTGACTGCTTGCACATCACTTGGAAAGGAGATGTCATTCATGTGTCCATTTGACTTGATTTTCGATGAATCTCTTGAAGAGTGTGTCGATTACCGAGTAAGCGCGAATTGCTCCACGGATGAAAAGCAGTCAAGGAATGGCACAAAATTGCAAACGCTTGCGGGTAACTAGAGGAAAAAGCATATTCAACTTGTAAGACTAAAGAATAGTCTAGACTTGCCCCATGAGCTTTGTGCTAATGTATCAGAAGGTATTCATGCTCTGACCGGATGTTCCACTGCTGCCATTCGTTGCACCTCGGGAAAAGCCAGGCAGGTTCAAACTTTTTTCTGAAGTAGTTTTAAGTATAGGTAAGTGATCTAGCCTCTTGGAATGTCAAGGCGGTCAAGTGTACGACGAGTCGCAATCGCTATGCGTAGGACCAGGAGAGCTCGATGCCTGTAATCTTGCTACTTCTGGTACTGAAACAACAACTGCCTCCTCTGAGGAGTCATCTGGAGCAGAACCAATATTGGGCAATGGGACAACTATAGGTACTTCATTCTTACGGTATTTGAGTTTTGGTTTTATTTTTAGACTGCGGAGAATTGGCTGGAGGGTTTTACGATATCGCAAAATGTTCACCGTACTACCTCAACTGTCCTGGAAATTTAGCTCGTGTTGCGAAATGCTCAGACAAGCTCGTTTACGCTAGGAAGTAAGGCATTGAAGATTAACTTTACTTCCGAGCTCAAAAGTACAATCTAGCATAAGTGGTTGTGTTGAGCCAACATATGTGGACGAATGTAATGAACAGCTGGAAGCATCTGGTATGTGGCGAATCTTCAGTACCTAAAGAAAAAATTTTCATCTCAGCTGACTGTAAAGAGGACGGCTTTTTCTCGTATGGAAACTGCTCGGATCAATTCTATGGCTGTACGAACGGTAATGTAATTAATTATAATGCACGAAATGAAGCTTTTCCAATTCAGGACGACAATTTACCATGAAATGCCCCGCCAGCTTAGTATTTGACGAAAATAGACAGATGTGTGATTACCCTGACGTTGTAGACATTTGCGCCGAATCCTCTGCGGAGGAGTCTGGATCCAGCTCAGGAGAGGACTCGAGCTCTGGACCTGCCGAAGATTCGGGCTCTGGTTCAGGTAAGAGATCTCACACCTCGTCAAAAAGCTGTCAAGCGTGCAAATTCGGATAATCTCGACATGGCTGTATCAAATAAACGCCTTTTAAGGTGAAGAATCAGGCTTAGGAGAAGAATCAGGCTCAGGGGAACAATCAGGCTCAGGGGAAGAATCAGGCTCAGGAGAGGAGTC